CCTGCCAATTCCCTCTCCCATTGGAGCACTCCTGCAGGAATTAGGTTCCTCAGGATGGGGTTCTTCCCACCTTAGCAACACATACACACAGACACTCATACCCACTATCAGAGCATGCCTGAAAGGACTGGGTAATCAGCACTCACAAGCCGACCCCTCATATGTCCCTGGACTCACCCAGATGGGTTAATAGCCATGCCACACTGCACTCTCATGAGCCTTTGGACTCAGTGGGCTGGATTAAACAGCACTTTAAGCTGCCATCCTCATATGCTCCCAGGTTCAGCATCCCCTATCCCCACTTTCACCCCACAGTCCACTGGCAAACCACGTGATGAGCAAACCCCGACAGGATTTTGGGCACTACAGGGATCTGTAGGTTGGGTACAAGAAGCGTTGTTGCAGAGCGAATGGGGAAGCCGAAACAGCACCCCTTGAGGAAGCGTGAGCAAAAGAGAAAGAAAGAGAGAGAAGCAACCAGCTTAACAATGAAAATAATTTATTTTATATATATATATATAGCGAGAGAGAGAGGGGGGGGGGGGGGGGGGGGAGCCAAACACACATAAGTTACAATATTAAATCTAAATTGGAACTGATTACAAATGTTAGGGCTAGCTAACCGTATAACAGTTTACATAGGGCAGAGTCAGGAGGCTAGGTTTAGAGATAGGTAGTTGGTGGGAGAGAGAGAGAGACCTCACCACTCCTTGGAGCTTGCACTGATCGGTGTTCCCAGATGATGATGGTAGCCGGGGGTCCAGAGGGCAGGAGACAAACAGAGCACAGCCCCCAACATGATCGGACAGGAGATGAAGAAGTTTCAATGGAACTGATGCAGTTTAAATCCAGGTATCAACAGTTTTTCTTGGGGCAGGGATAGGAGTTTTTATAGGGATAGGACAATAGAGACTGATCACCCCTGCTTATGGGTGATGTTCCTTGAGGAGCTCACAATGCAAGTAGGCAGTTTCAGTACTTTGGATGTCAATAGGATCCTTACTAGAATTGGTCTGATAATGACTAATTTGGGTGTGAGCAGGCTTGGGTTCATTAGCATCTGGAGTAGAGATTTCCCATCAGGCAGTGCTTCTCTGCTTTCGGTATCCCATAGTTCATTGCAGTTCCTGCTTTGGAAGAGCTGCTCTCCATTCTGTACGCTAATAAGTTCTATCGTCAATGCAGATGAGGCTGGGGTGTTTCCTTAACTAGTTTAGGTGTGTCTTCCCTGGCCTTTTCCTTGCTTTGTCTGATTCTAGCAGAGGCCATGGGGAAGGGGGGATGGTTTCCCATGAATGTCACTCCCTAGCTCCCCAAGAGCACAGGGCTGGTAGGTAACAACCCCTAATTCCTCATAATGCGTGACCATTTTTAAACTAGTGCAAAGTATGATACTGCAATACATAACCCCACCCACAGCCCCACTGCACTGGCAAGTGAATGAGAGTGAAGACTAGATTCAGTCCCTCCCCCTGTCTGCCTGCTCCACGAATGGACTAGGACAGTAAGCAGGTGTCCATATCAATGTTCCCTCTAATGTTTCCATACATGTGCAGAATAAATTTTGTTATGCACACCAAGGCATGTGCAGATGTGCACCACCAGCAGAAACACATGCTGCTGCGTGGGCGCTTGGCGAATCAATGAGGCAGCCTTTAAATCTCTCCTGGGTGGCCGCCCAATTGCACAGCTTATAGGGAACACTGGCCCAGACTCTAGATCTGTTTGCAGCAGGTGCACCACAGGCAGGGCCTGCTCTGGTTGGGCTGAAGCAGCCCTTGTCAGTGTTGGGTGGGCACTCCAGCCTGGCCGGGACAGGCAGGGAGCTGCTCCAATCTGTCCTCTACCTGCCTCCTCTTTAATCAGTTAACCAGTTAACATCACATTTAACCGGTTAACCAATTAAATGGGATTTTACATCTCTATTAGCAGTCTGGCGCTATGAATTATTAAAGCAGAAAGAATACTAGAAATCCGACATACTCATCACTGCTCATGCTCTTTATTTGCATCCTGCCCTTCTCTCATCTTGGGCAGTGTAAATCAAAGTCCCTTTTGTGTCTACTCCGTTTCTGTCTCAGTGCCATAGGTTTTGGGGCTGAACGTACTGCAGGAATGGATCAGTGTTGATTTGTCTAAAAAAAATGTTTCCACTGGGATTTAAAAAGAAATTCCCATTTGTCTTAAATTTCGTAGATGTATTGGGAGGGTGCTTAGTTTTTCCCCAGGGCCTAAGTTTTGGCCCAAACATGAGTTGATGGCCCCCATAAGGAGTAAAGTTGTTGAGTACTCGTGGTGGTGGGTCAGAGTTTGGATCCATTTCTGTGGAATGTTAAAGGAATCCTGGCTCCAAGTACCACGGGTGGAAGGCATCCAGCATGTGCTCTCTTTAGTAGGCACTAGCACATTTACCTGGGGTTGCTCAGGTCCTTACCTCCAGTAATTTTGGGGTTTTTTTGGAAATTAAAATGAAAATGTCCAGGCTTCATTTGAATCATTGCTCCTGGGTGGGGCTGGGGAGGAGGGGTTCAGGATAGAGGCTGCCCTGGGGAGAGGGGACAACCCCAGCCCTCTCTCACCGCAGCAGCTTGGGGCCAGGTGAGCAGCACCTTGCCATGGCCGCTGCAGCTCCTGGGGGCAGAGCCAGGGGAGGGGTGCATGTCCCCCACTTGGAGCAGGTCCAGGTTCATCTGCCTCCTGCGCTCCCCGACCAGACTGAGGAATGCAGCAAACTGTGCACTTTCCCCTTGCTCCCTGGTGAAGGGGAACAACCAGCAATGTTCTTGTAGGACGGAGCAGGGGGTTCAGCCCCTCCCTCTGACCTCTCTAAAAGGGTGTTTGGGGGTTGGGAACCTCAGGGCGGGGACAGTCCCAGATTGGGATGGGGGACACCCCCAGCCAGTCCCTTTCACCTGCTTGGTGATTCTTAAGAACATAAGAACGGCCGTACTGGGTCAGACCAAAGGTCCATCCAGCCCAGTAGCCTGTCTGCCGACAGTGGCCAGCACCAGGTGCTCCAGAGGGGGTGGACCGAAGACCACGATCAAGCGATTTGTGTCATGCCATCTGTCTCCAGCCTCTGACAAACAGAGACCAGGGACACTATTCCTACCCCCTGGCTAATAGCCTTTTATGGACCTAACCGCCTAGCTTCTCTTTAAACTCTGTTACAGTCCTAGCCTTCACAGCCTCCTCTGGCAAGGAGTTCCACAGGTTGACTATGCGCTGTGTGAAGAAGAACTTTCGCTTATTAGTTTTAAACCTGCTAGCCATTAATTTCATTTGGTGTCCTCTAGTCCTTATATTATGGGAACTAATTAATAACTTTTCTTTATTCACCCTCTTCACACCACATTCTGAGAAGCAATCCCATTCCAGACACATCCCATTTTCTTTTATCGTAACTTAAAGGAAGGTCAGGGTTTGGTTGTGCCAGGAAGTTGCATACCAAATTTGGTGATCCTAGCTCTTACCATTTAGGAGGTGTTCTTGAACAGACACACAAACAGGCAGATGGACAAACTCTCTCAAATCTAGAGTAGATTAAGTATCTTCAGTTCTCCCTCCCAGTAAAATATCCCATTTCCCAAGCTGACGTACCTGTGTATGCTATATGTCTGCATTTACCAATTCACTCAGGGTGCGTCTATACTGTGGCACTAGCTCGAAATAAGCAATGCAATTTAAGCTATGCAAATTGCGTACCTTAGGTCGAGAGAGTCTACACAGCACCAAATTTCAAAATAGAGCGTTATTCCGACAAGTCCCTTAATCCTCGTGAAATGAGGTTTACCAGGATGTCAGAATAGTGCGCCTGTCATTTTGATTATATTTCGAAATACCGGGCTCGCTGTCAGGATGCTGAATAGCTATTTTAGGATACCGGAAGTATCCCAAAATAGCGCTACAGTGTAGACGTATCTTCAGAGGTAAAGTTAAAAGTCAAATGACTCTCTTGAGTAATTGGTGCAAGACATGTTTATAAATCTGAGGTTTGGGTTCATACATCTCAATGGGCACAGGAAATATGGAGATCAGGACATGCGCTGGAATGGCAGAAATGGTAATGTAGCCACCTGCGTGGTTTGTGTTTTGTTTTGAGATTCTGAAACAAACCCATGCATCCAGTGTCCAGAATCGCATTAAACATTCATGAGTAGTCCTGTAACAGCCTTTCCTTTTGTCCTCGTCTTCGTCGATTCTAACAGATGTTTCTTCTTGAAAGCATGCAAGAGAGAAGCAGCAGCATTGCTATAGTTAAAATACCGCTCCTCTCGTTCCAGGGCAGGCTGGCAAGCTGATGTACGTGATGCATAACTCTGAATATCCCCTCAGCTGCTTTGCTCTCTTTGAAAATGGTCCCTGCCTGATCGCAGATGCCAACTTTGATGTCCTCATGGTGAAACTGAAAGGCTTCTTCCAAAACGCCAAGGCAAACAAGATAGAGAGCCGGGGTACGCGGTACCAGTACTGTGATTTCTTGGTGAAGGTTGGCACTGTTGCCATGGGGCCCAGTGCCCGGGGAATATCTGTGGAGGTAAGACTGTTTGTTCTGCATTTCAGTCACTTCAAGGAACAGGCCAGGACACACCTGGCTCAGAATAAGGCCCCAGGGCAGCAAAGCGCTGAAGAAGATACTTCAGTCTCATGGACTTCAGGGCTAGTCCAATCCCCTGCCCTCATGGCAGGACCAAGTATTGTCTAGACCAGGGATGGGGACCCCTTTTTAGTCAGAAGCTGCTGACCCACAGAACAATCAGTCAGGCCACACACAAGTGAGATGCAACTCCCACATGCACCCCTTCCTTGCCCACCTCACTGACCTGGCTCCTAAACAGAAACTAAAAAAACCTGAAGAGCACGCAACTTGAGGCTCTTCTTGTGCTCCGGGAGGAGGAGGAGGGGGCATCGAAGTTTAGAAACTTGCTGTGAGGCTGGAGTGCTTACCCTGCTGCCGGGGGAATTGGAGAGCCTCACCGCGGGCCAGAGCAAAGTAAGCCAGAGGCCGGATTTGAGCCACCGGTTTCTCACCTCTGATCTAGATCATTCCTGACAGGTGTTTGGAGATTTTTAAGAGCG